AAAAAAAAAAAAAAACACGATTCAATGTGGAAATTCCTCGGCTAAATCTCTCATCGAACACACATAGTTCCACGGATTTTCATTGTTGCTCTTTTTTTTTTTTTTACCGCCATACAGAAATCGCGGATTAGTCCGACACAATCTTTTTCCACTTTGAATGCTCGTCCTAAAAAGTGGAAAATAAAAAGCTGCACTTTATTGCTCTGCGGGAGAATCTCACTCGTTGCCACGGGATCACCAACGCTTGTGCTACACGGACTTAACTCTGTTCTCGTTTTTCCTTTTTAAATTTCACTAGTTCGGGTAGCATTGATTATCCTTTATAACAAACTTAGTATAAATATATTCGATCGATAATCCTCCAAATTTTGCAATTATGCGATTTACTTGCGTATTTTCGTCGAGGAGAACTGCACCTATTTTTTTCAAACAATAAGATAAGCAAAATGGAAGTTATAAATTCGTGAGAAAACAGTACACAATTTTCTCTCGAAATAAAAGGATCCCTTTAAACCGAATAAGACATACTTATAAATGTTTCGGAGAAACGAGATATAAGCAGAGAGAGATAGACAAAAAGAGGTAACTTTACGATGGAGAGAAATATCGCGAGATTTTCAAAGCTCGGTCATTAGTCTAGTTGTTTGAGTCTAACATTTCACGGGATATACAAGAGGGGAAGAAAGGGAGAAAGAGAGAAAGAGAGAAAGAAAGAGAGCGAATATACGAGAATATATGAAAAAAAGAAGAAAAATGAAAGTGAATTTTCCGCCAAGGCTTTCCCGCGTCGCCGAGCACGCGCGTTTTTCTTCCGCGTCTTTTCAACAACCCTTCGTTGTATAAATCACTAGTAGATTTATACATTTTCCTATCCCAACACACACGGTACGTACCTCGAGCACGTCGATGGCACGGGCGCATTAGCGGAGAGACACGAGATATACGACAGAGGAAAATATGTACGTGAGAAAATGTGTGTACGAACACCTGATACCCGCGTAATTACATTTTTGACAAGGGATCTTCGATTTTAATGGAAGATGGATAAAGAAAGAATCTGCTTATAAGAGGATCGAAGATGCTAGCACGAATGAATTTCGTATATGATCCATTTTCCATGAAGCAAGGTTTCACGATACGATGATTTTACGACGAAGGTCGTGTCTTTTCTCGTTGTAACAAAAATGGAAACTATCGCCGTATATTCTTGTGAAAATCATATAGGTCGGAATGGAGGCTCTGTTTCGTAATTTATCTCGATATCCGCCATACAGTTTTATCAGAATGACTAGTGCTTTCCGATAACAAGGTATCGACCTGCTGGAAAATAAACGAAAAATTTTCCATCCCCGGTTGTCGCGTTTTCCCAGCTACAATTTTTCAATTCGATTATTATTTCACGTTGGAACACAACGTTTCCGGTTAAACTTCGCGAACATAAGAAAGAAAGAACGATGGTCTTTTCCACGAGACTTTCCTACTTTATTTTTAAAAATATCGAGGGACGTAGATTTCTCGAAGGGAAGAATTACGAAGTTTCTTTATCTTAGAGAATATCTGATGTTTTTTCTTTCTTTTTTTTTTTTTGTACATCGTAACGGAGGAATATTAAAAAGGGAAGCTCGAAATAAAAAATAGAAAATTTTATCGCGCTTTCAACGCCGTCCATCAATTTAATGTTTGCCGTATCGTATTATGATGGAGAAGCGTGTGCTCGAGGAAAGTGAAAAACATCAAATTAAGTTGCCAAGTTGGAACAAAAATTAAATCTCGCTTACTCGAATACTTTGATCAACTTACCCCCCGGGGATGATATCCCGGGAAAGAGAGTTATCGATCAAAATAAGCTTGATATTCCCTGACTTCGAGTCGAACACCAAAGCGAATAAAATCGAAATGCAAAAAAAAAAAAAGGGAGGAGTTTTCGTCTATAACACGTTATGCGCATCAACTGTAAAATAGTTTATGTAGCAGAATTTCGTTGGGGCGACGAGTAACGTCGAACATTGTTCCATATCCGAAACGAAATTGATTTTATCGAAGCGTCTCGGAATTTTTCCTCCAAATATGGACCATGGAATATGTTTTGCATCGCGATATCTATATCAGAAACTCGATGCCGTGATACAACCGCAAACTATTCGAAATATTCTGGCCAATCACCGGGATGAAGCACAAAGGGAAAGATACGATATAAATTCGAGAATAATATTCGCAAGCGAGCGACAATTCTTGAGGAGATACGCGAGGAATGAAATAGTTGAAAAATTTTATAATCACCTTACTGGTAAGATTAATCCGCGAAATATGAGATAGAGAAAGAGAGAACACTATCATCAAGTGAAGGAAGATAATTTTGGAAAGAAAATGGAGGTTAGGGAATTACGAGGGAACGAGATGCAAGATCTGCAGTATCGATTATATTATTAAAATTAATCACTTGAGGCGAAGTAGATGAATTATGAAGACGATTGGATTAACTGGAAAATAGTTTGCAAACGTCGAAGAATATAAAATGAAGACGATGAAAATATTTGAAATTCCTTGTTGGTCAAGTTGATCGATTCACCGAGTGAATTAAGATCCGTGTGCTAATTACTACGAGTCCATCGAATCAATTTACTGATCAAAGTGATGTGTCATGTATCTCGGCATACCGAATGTCGACAACTCGCTCAAAGGGAACAATTTGGGGATGCTGGGATTGTTTAAGATCGTCACTGTTACGTGGAATAAATGAAAAATGTAAAAGTAAAATCGATCTAGTGACGACAATTGGACGATCGGATTTATAAATTGTAAAAAACAGATAAAGTGGAATGATTTTAAAGAAACGTGCAATGAAAATTGAACGACAATTAGATTTCGATAGAACAATTTTTCGGTGTACAATTAGCTAAGAGTGGAAAAATAATAATTGTATAGAACTTACGGCTCGTAATGCTTTTAACCTTTCATTCTTACGTTAGCCTGTACACAGGGATACGTTGGAGTAGACTCGACAAGAGTAGAGGATTGCTCTTGAGGCAGAGAAGTGACACAGAGTAAAAGAATGATGGAAGAAGGGGAGAACATAAAGGAGAATATTTCAGTGTTATGCATGTTGGAATGCATTGTAGTAAACCACAACACTGATTAATATGCTCGTGCGACGAGAGAGGGAAATCACAATAGGGAAACGTAGGTGGCACATACGTGTAAGATTTCATAAGATGAAATCAAATTGCGGGAGAAAAATAATCAATTTTACGATCAGACGATGATATTACGTTGTAAAAAAAAAAAAAAAAAAAAAAAAAAAA